AATTATCCGTAGTTATGTTAAAAATTTTCATAAAAGCTGGGATAACTATGTCAATGAATTTGCTTTCGCCCTTAGGACCGCAAAACATGATACAACGGGCAAAACTCTCCTGCTGAGTTATTTCTAGGCAGAAAGATTATAACACCGTTAGATAAATTATTTTATGTGCAACAAAGAGCCCCAGAATTTAAAATGGGTGATATAGAAAAACTAATTAAAGGAAGCAAAAAAGAATACGGAAGTAGCACAAAGAAAACAGAAGCTCTATTATGACTTGAAACGACGGGGAGTAACTTATAAAGTAGGGGATGAAGTTTTAAAAATTAAGCATTCACTTTCTTCAGCACCAGAAGATAAAACTGCCAAATTTTTTCCACGATTTGAAGGACCATATGTTATAGAAAAAATAACTCACGCTGTAGTAGTGTTAAAAGCCAGAAATGGTGAAACCTGTTCCGCAAACATTGATCAAATCAAACCCTACTATCGATCGTAATAAAATGCAAATCTTTTCAGATCTTTTGCAGGATCCGGCACGGCAGACACCGCAGGCACAAGCTCCAGAGGTGGAAAAACGACAAGTACAAGGGCAAGCCAATTAAGAGGCAGGAGCAAGTGAAAAGAAAATTTCCCCGCGGAAAAATTGAAGGTAGCAAGAAAAAAGAAGCCGTTCCACCGTCCAGAAAAGAGTTCACGAACACCCCCAGAATGAAGAAGGGAGATGACGACGTATGTGAAGAGAACCAGGAGAAATGACGGCAACTATAACCCGGCTCTAAAACGGAAGATCTACTCATCTGACAGACTCTCCGCAGCAAATGTCGCCGAACTGCGGAAGGGCCATCAGCGGCGGAGGAAAAGTTACAAGGAAAATTTGAACGGCCAGCAACGAGGTCCAAGCAGGAACACGAAAGATGTTTCCCGGTTCCGCCAAGACCAGCTGCCATCAAACGGCCAAGACCACAAGCAGAGGAAAAAGAAGGTATTCAAGGGTGACCGAACTGGTGAAAAAAGGAAAGCTTCTAGAGGAAGGCACTGAAGGGCGAGCCCGTACAAGAAGGAGGATAAATCAAACAACTAATCTGCACTACTTTTAAAGGACTGGGCCCAGAAAAGGAATGTCCGAATATCACAAAGATAAGTAAAATTTTATGTTACTTTGCAAACTTAAGTTAATCTTTCATTCTTACTGCAAGTGGCAGATTTCAAGAAGTTTTACCTCATGCGAGGTCTACCTTTATCGCCAAAAGGCGCGAAATGAGTTGTTACCGATGAGGGCGAGAAATGAGTTGTGACCGATTTTGGTTATTATGTTTTTCAATTACTCGCGCGTAAAAACTAAAGTTGATGTATAATAGCGTTGTGTAAAGACTTAAATATTGTAAAAAGTTATTGTATAAATTTTATTTAAAACATTCTAGGCAAGAAAGAAGTTTTAGTCTGAAAGACTTTTTGAAATGTATTATTTCAATGTAGAAAGAATTGGCACTTGCTTTGAAAAGAATAGAAGTTAACAATGTACTACTAATGTATGTTTTCAAATGTGTAAAATTAACGGCATGTTGAATATGTTCTTATATACAATGTGAACTGTTATTTTAAATGTTAAGAAATACCGTGATATGGTAAAAGTGAAAGTAATGTTAAAATTTTTTTTTTATTCGTGTGACTGTAAAAAGACTAAATCATGGTGAATATGTGTTAAAGGTTGAATGATGTAGTTAGGCTCTCTGACGCTACACTTCAGAGTTAGCCACTTTCAGAATAGTACCTCAGGGTTTAGAGTTGAAATTAGGGTGTGTTAAGAGGTCTTGGGTTATGTTGAATTTTAACACGTTAGTGTTTTGATTGTAGGAGGAAGTGTGGAACACGTAGACAGAAACACATTCGTGTTTGGTGTTTCTTTTACAAACACATGTCAGAGAGCACGGGGAGAGATAATTAAAATAGTCATGAATGAAATAAGAATGTTAAGAGAAATATAATTATATATGTTACTTGCCATTTCATTGTGTAACATTTCATTAAACTAGTTTTCCTTCCAGATCTCTGGAAGGAACCAGATTTGAATAAAAGCTCCTGTTTAGATGCAGTACAGATGAAAAAAAATTGTGTATCCTGGGAGCTGCTATTGTAAAAAAAAAATTTCTTTCTTTTAAATTTCTAGTTTCTAGCGAAAATGTTTGTAAAAGATTGGCCTCGCGTTAGATTCTAGAGCTAAAAGTTTTCAACAAGGTCGTTTTAGACCTCAGTTTCAAACTAATTAACTCTGGCGGGAAGTATGTAAGGATCTTAAGTTTTACTAACGTTTATTTTATTTTAAATCTTTACTATCACTTCTTATTTTCTACTTCCGGCCAGAATTATAAGCGTTAAGGTTTTTATGCAAAGTTTGTCTGGCGAACGCCAAGTATTTAAGTTGTGGCTTTTTGCCAAGCGAGAGAGAGTGAGTCGAAGCAGGCCGCTTACCTTAGAAGTTTTACGCAGTTGCTGTTTGCCTTCCAGGCCAGAGGTTTTAATCCTCTTGATAAATTTTAAAACGTATTGTAGTGTTCACAGTTCTCTGTACTACATACGCTTCCTGTTAATATAAGGCCAATCTTCCACGTTATTATTCTAAAGTTAAATTAGAGTTTAGTTTTATTTTTATATTTTTTACGTTTTGACCCCAAGTAGCGGGTCGGGTATTCCGAAGTACGGAAGTCATTGTAAATAGAGAAAAATAAAGGGTTTGTATACCCTTCTTGTGTATCCTGTTTACTTCCCACAGTTTTGAACATAGTTTAGTAAGTCTCTCGTCCCGAAGAAGGTTAGAAGGAACATTGACCCTGATAAGTTCACTAGTAAACGATCTACCCAAATCACTCTGAATCTCTTTACGGTAACCTGATCTAGAAAAGATTTGTATTAAAGCCTGAATTACGCACTTAGAGGTTAAATTCTGCAGAATTGTATCTGGATATATGGAAGCAAAACAAATTGACGTAATTAAGTATTTATTTCCACGTGAACTATGAATCAAAGGTCAGTATTTTATCTACTATACACTTCTGATATACCAGGCACAATCTTTATTACAGCTTTCTTTTTAGCCCTATTGTGACCTACACTCTTACAAATATTGCACGTCCTCACAATTTTTTTAATTTTCTGGTAAAAATTAGACCAGAAATAGTGCATCAAAACTCTATCCTTGGTGTTTGTTACCCCCAAATGATCAGCGATTCCCTCGTGGCATAACTTCAAGATCCCTTCCCTAAAAACAAGACGCACGCAGAGCTGAAGCTTATCCTCCCCTTTCTTAGAGCCTGCCACTCTGCCTAGCCCCCTTTACAATTCTAAACTTCTTTTCTCTCTTGCTTTCCCTTTTCTTCCACAGCACCGCTAAACTTGTGCATGAATTTCGTGCTTCGGCGAATTCCACGGGCGAAATATCCACAAGGATAGACATTTCTTCTGATGACTAAAATTTCAATGGATTCTTCCGTATTACTTGTTAATTTCCCTTCTTCTGAACAACAGAATCAGATCCTATCGCTTCCTCATCTTCCGGTCTCAAATCTAAGTCTGCTTCCTCGCTATGCGCAACCGCTTCTACGTCCGCTCTTCGTAAACTCCTGCGCTTTTGCGACTGACTACGGGTGTCCACAGCGTTCAAGAGATCCGGTTGTTTTCCTGTTTTCGCTATCAGCTGTATTATGTAATGAAATTCGAGAATTTTCTGACGAGAGAATTAACTAACTTAATTGTAATTATACGGAATCTAGAAATATTCTAGTGTAATTTTGTTTCTTTATTATTTGATTTAACAAGTGAATTTTATTTCATTAAATTCTTATCTGAAACCCAGTGTTTCAATTTTTATTTTGTTAATTCTAATTTGAAAATTATGAAAAAGAAAAGAAATATTTTTGCATCTAAAAGAAATCGGGAGAGCTTAACAATTTCCTGCGCTATTTAGTTTTCTCGGGGTCTTGGAATGTTCGACAAATCTTGGGGATTTAGTACGTGCCCTCTTTAAATAAAGATGACGGGTTAACAGTAGGTTACGCGGGAAGGTTAACGAGATTGACGATGGCTGTGCCCTGGCTTACTAGCCGCGCCTGCGCAAGGGTTGTGTTTGACTGATTTGGGAATGCTGCCGGATCTGAATTTTCACTGGGAATTCTGGAAAACTGAAAGACTTTTTTTTGCTTATTCCCAATTTTGAGAGGGACTAGAAAATGCTTCATAATTGTCAAATTTTCTGGAAGTTAAGTGAACTGAAAGACTTTTTTACTGCTTCATTGATGAGAGTTCGTAATCTCGTGACTTTTTGTGCTAGTTTCCCTGGAGTTGAAGACCTAAAAATGCTTCCGGATCTAAATTTTCACTCAGAATTATGGAAAACTGAAAGCTTTTTTTTTGCTAATTCCCAGTTTTAGGAGGGGCTAGAAAAATGTTTCATAATTGTCAAATTTCCTGGAAGTGAGCTGAAATTTAGACACTACCTTTCCTCTGCGTCATGATCTCGTCTCATTTTTTGCCTGTTTCCATTGAGTTGATGACCAAAAATTATCTCCTGCTGGATCAACTTCCTGTTGCTAATATCGATGAGAGTAAACTATGCCTATACCCAGTTGCCCAGATAGAAGTTCGAGGACGATCTTCTGCTGGCTGTCAATAAGCTATTTCATCTAGTACTTGGTTTCAATAGTTCCCGAAGTCCAGCCACCTATTAGAAAAAATGCCTCCAATGGCGCGTCATTATCCAAGTCTTCTAGGAAGTTGTCAGCAAAATCGTCTGTGGTGTCATGTTCCTCATAGGCCGTAGTGTGTGGCCTGCTCTGGCGGCAATTCCAAGGGGAATAATATGTACACAGATTATAACGCTTTCGTTTCTTTTCATTACAGAATCGTCCCGGAGGAAGGATTTCCGTTTCCTGTGTCGAGCTACCTATCCCAAGAAGTGACTACTAAGATAAGTACTCATATAATAATATTTTTTCTGTCTTGTTTTCTTTTCTTAGATGAGTCTGCCTAACAGATTTATTTTAGGTAGTCAGCTAATTTGTTTAGTTCTCCAGATTTGTGAATGTAATGTCCTATATTTCATGTAAGGAGTAATCTGAATTAATGTTGATATGTCAAAAGTATAACACCTCTTTCGCCTGTACGGCTGAGGATAAAAAAACTAGTAAGTAAAATTTTAATTTTTCCTCTCGGTAGAATTATTGTGTTAAGATATGGAATGTTTCCCGTAATAATTCATTGGAATTTAATTATGCTATAAATATTATAATTATTTAAATGGGTATAAATTCTATCAATAAGATTTCTTAATGAAATGATTCTCGTGTAAGACTAAATTGTTAATCAAGATCGAAACTTATATAACAAATCGGAATAGTAAAGAGCAGAGTTGAGTCTGCCAATTGCTACTTTTCTTCTAATTTATTTATCCTCAAGACAGCTAATGGTTCATTTATTTAATGGTTTAGATGTTACTCTCAGTATGTTTTAACTTAATGTTTGAGTATTCACCTTAATAGAGTGTACGGCCTTCAACCAGCGCGAACCCGAAAAAACCAAACACAATAGAATGTCCTCACATACTCGGTTTAATTAGGGTTATACAGTAGATTTCATTATATAAAATTAATAATTTCATTATTAGTACTAGCACTTATCTGAAGTGTGTTACAGTTTTCAGGTACCCTCACGTTTTCAATGGTATTGTGAGGGTTATCTATTTAACTAATAGTTCATTTTAAGTTGAAAAGCACTATCACTCTCGTTTCACCCACACTTTTCATGCCAGAATGTAAATGACATAGCGAGAGTTTATTCAGATTATGGTAGAACAATAGCCGCAACAAACTTGTATACGACCTGGAAATAGTTTTTCCAGAAAGGCATTGCAGAATATGTCAATTCGAAAAGATAAATAAATTTTGATCTTATTTTCAAATATTCAGTGCTGTTATGTCTAAACGTATACCAATTTGCTAATATTGTTTTAAATTTTTGGCCTCGAAGTGAGGATTTCTTTAGTTGTTTCAGCTATAAGCTTTTTTTTCCATGAAATAATTCTTTTCGCGGCAAGAAATACGCTTTGTTTGTCAAGAGATTGTTTTGTGCTATTTCGCAAGATGAAATTGCTTACTAGCAATTTTCCTTAATTTGGATATAAGAAAACTGAAAACTTGTATATGTATTGTATTTACAACTATGTTTAATGTAAATGTGTATTTCTGACTCTAAAGTGTGTTGTAATTCTATAAAACTAGTTGTAATTATGTTTAGGAATGGAAAGTTTAAATTTATCGAGATTTAAAGTGTAATGAAAAGAAAAGCTAGCGAGGGAAAAATTTAAAAGCTAGCTTAGATAATGTTAAATTAGTTAAGTTTTTCGGCTGAACATAAAGCTTGTTGCATGTTTTAGGATGAGCATACTAGGATAAATCTGAATATAGAGAAAGTGTTGAAGTCTAGTGTGTCTGAGCTAATTAACATGTAGGTTGTCGCTCAGGTGGTAAAATTGTGAAACACCCTAATTTCACTTATGTTGAAAATTCAGTACACTCATACGCTGGAGAGCTATTGATGAACAATTAAATTTGTGTGCACTGTAAAAGAATTTTCATTGTCTAACCCAGGGTTTTTTTAACTGTGGGTCAGAACCTCCAAGGGGGTCATGGGACCTGCAGCAAGGGGTCACCAAAAATTTTAGCAGTTTTGATATTTCTTTGACTTATTATAATAATTTTACAATTACCAAATATTTTTACACAATGTAGCTGAAAATGAATATAAGACAATAAATACAAGGAAAAGAGCAAAAACTTTTCGACGCATTCTTTTTATAATATAAACGTTCATTTTCTTTACTTTGCACATGACGCTGTCATTTCGTCTGTTACTTATTTAAAATTTTCACATTGTTCTATGTCTTAAAATTAGAAATTAAAGTTAATGACCTAAAACTGCAATAGTATATTAGAGAACAAGTGAAAAAATTGACAGTTTCATTCATGCATGTGTCGGATTTTGCGCAATACTTATGGAGCCTTACAAAATTTTTGTAAATATTATGGGGTGCTGGAGGGTCGTGAAAAAATCTTAATGATAAAAAGGGGTTGCGACTGAAAAAAGTTTAAGAAACCCTGGTCTAGCCAAATGTTATTATCCCAAAACTCTTGCTAATATATTTTTCCTTCCAGATGCACTGGAAGGAGATGAGATTCAATATACAAAACATGTTAGTCAAGATTGCAAGCTGATTTTTGTATTGTAAAATTTTAAACTAGTTTTATCTAGTAGCATTAAAGGCTGGCTCTCAGTTGAGCATAGAACCTTGTTTTCAAATATTTAAATTCTGGAAGGAAATATTGTAAAGACCTTATTTTGTAATAAGAAATCATTTTTTATTTTAAGAAACTTTCCTTTCCCTTCCAATTCAGCTTCTTGCCAGAATGCAAATTAAAATGTTGTATATACAAATCTGAATGAGTTCGAAAATACAATTAAGTAGGAAAATTTGAAAGTTCGTAGTAGAAGAGGTAGTTACGAGTATATGCCATGTGTTTGCAAGTAGCTCTGTTTCTGAATATTTTGTGCTAGCCACTTACTTTATATTCTAGACTCAACTTTGCTGAGTGCAGCCCATAAAGTGGATTTAGACTGAAGTATAAGCCAGTCGTATAATTAAAATTAAACTCATTCTGATTGCATGTACTATTTTGTGATAAATTACTTAGCCTCAAGTGGTGGATAAAGTCTGAGCACTGAGTGAGTGCCTGTTCTGATCAGTTCAGTTAAAATAAAAAGGCTATTATTGCATTCGTCGCCAGTCATCTGTCCCCCCTCCCAAGACATAGCAAGAATTTGCTGTTTTGTCTTCAGTGGCATCTACATTTTATGCTCCCAGAAAGAACGAGACTCTACAAAGTGTTCTCAAAGGATAGTCCCTTTTGTGCAGCGTGAACACTCAATTGAAAATGCCCTCTTTATGTATTTGCAATGTACTTCAGCAACCATAAACAGTGCATCTGGCAATATTCTTTAGCATTTCACCTTCTCTGGTAAAACTTAGTTTACTTATTTTTTTGGTAGTGGCTAACCAATACATTAGCAGCAGCCTTATTTAGGGGCGACCTGCCCGTGGTTGTCATAAATGGAGTTGCAAACCCTCATATTGAAGTTGTTTATTACAAAGTTTCTTTACCAGCTTCCATGGTTTTGCATTAAGTGTTTGCACATCAATATTAGTGCACAAGTTTCCCGGCTTTTTCTCTTAAGCAGGGCATAGGTTCTTTTTATTTCTGCATTAATCTTTGAGAGTGATTTTAATCAAAAGTTCGCGTCTATCCCTCAGATTGTAAATTACTTGTATCCTTTTCTCCTAGAGAGGCTTCAAGAGCGGAGAGATGCATGAAAACTGCAGTTTTTAAAATTACCTCTTGGGAAAGCTTGTTTTGCAGCCTGAATCACAGTTACCTTGTAAAACAGCCATCTTCCATCAAAATCTTTATGAGATAACTCTGTAATATGTTTTGGATTGTTAATGCTTCGAAAGAGCTCCCAGTTAGCCTTCTTAAAATTCCAGAAATTCTTACTATTCATTTTCCTCCTCCGTCTCTTGATTTCCACCAAAATGGCCAATTGATCACTTCCAATGCTATTAAGCACAGTCCAAGAAGAATCAAGGAAGAAGTCAGGATTGACCACAGTTAAATCAAGAATGTCTTCAGTACGTAACTAAAAGAAGAGAAGTTATTTTAATCATTGTTAAGGGACAAAAGAGCATGATCATGTATGAAGTTACGAAAATCCTTGCTTCTGTTATTAACACCAATGCTGCCCATAACAATGTGCTTAGCATTAATGTCTCCCAGGATAACGGTGAGAGGTCAAGTTGTTGATAATTCACTTTTCTAATTAGAAAAGCTAAACCTCCACCACCTTTATGTTGTCTATCAGATCTCAAGCTATGATATCCTTTGAGATAAGTTTTTTTTAAGCTTTGTTTCTTGCATGGCAATCATTTGAATACCATATTTTGCCACAATATCTAGGATTGTGTCTAACTTAATCCTAGTGGTACTATCCCATGATAACCTGCACAACAGGTGATGCAGTATGATTTGTATTGCATCTACCAAAAGGTAGAAGGCTGAATTTGCCTACTACTTTTAGATGGGCTAAGAGGAATGGCCTTCATGCCTAGGATAGCATTACCAGGAGAAATACCTGACATACTCCATCCATTGTCACTACCCTCACCACATTGAGGCAATCAATAGGACTTGAACCTCACTGTTGCCTTTGCTACTTTTTGGGCTTCAAATCATTCATAAATAATTACAGAAAGTGCAGCTGGCTCAGTGACATAGAGTGAATGTCAGTTTGTGTTTACTTCACTGCTATTAGTCGGTTCTTGTATTAGACTGGCATAAAGTTCAATGATTAGAAAGAAAAGACTCAGCATGACCTTTGAAAGGAGTTTGCAAGGTTTTGTCTTTGTTAGCAACATGAAAAATATGACGATACGGACAAATCCATTTTAAAATTAAGAAAGCACATTCTCCCAATGCATTGAACAAGAGGAAAAACAAATGAATATTTTTTTTTTTAATTTTCAGAACTTGTAACTAAACAGTGGGAAAATTACAGAAGGAGTAACGGTATATATCTATGTAAATAAATATTGCTTGAATCCTGTTATTTGACTGTAAAACACTGATGTTACATATTAAATTAAAACATAAAATTAACAGATGGTGTTAAAAAAGGCTGCAATAAAAGTTTTATTATATATCTATTTAAAAGTATCCCCACATAAGTTATTTTTATTAATAATGACTTAAATTATCATACTGACATAACTGTAGCAGACAGACTTCAGCACTCATCATCTGTGCATCAATTTTGTGAAGATGCAAGTGACTGCAACACTAAAACATTAGCTGTCTCATAATTTTACTCTACATCCCTCCCAAACCAACCTAGGGTAAACAGCATTTCTGGCACACAATATTTCATTTGTATAGCAGTACTTCTTTGCAAGTAGATTTTAGGAGTACAAAAATATTATTCAATATTTTTCCTTCTTTCTAATCAATCCTTTATTTTTATTTTCATCTTAAGCACCTGATTAAATAAAGTTAAGAACAAATTAAAAACTCCATAAAAAATAGAAATGCATTTTGTATTTTGCTAAAGTACATTTTAAAATACAAACATACTTTACACTGAAAATACAACATTTTGGATTTTTTGCCCAGCGCTGATTTACAAATACATTAATTTTAATTCACTAACATACTATGAGAAAGATAAATAAATACAAAAATACATCTTAAAATTTTAAACATAGTTTGCTGGTAGGCACTTTAAAAGGCTTTATCAGTATATTCATTACAATTTGTCTGCAACAACAGCAGATTTGAGTAATCATAAAACATTAAAGTACACTTAGGAATATCAGGTTTTAACGAAAGTTTCCTGCCACTGCAAATATCATCTGTGCAAACAGTTCACATTGCCAAGTTTTATCACATTTTGTCAAATGATTTTTGGCATTTGAAAGAGACTTGTTTCAGAGCACTGTGTTGTGAAATTTGTAAAAAAATATCATTATCATTAAGCACAAAGTGTCTGAAATGGAACTATCATGCTACCAGATTAAAACTATCATTTACTTCCAGTTCTGTTGCAAAAAGTCAGCTACAGAATGTAATCAAATCATGTGTACAGCTTTAGGTACTAATGTTGTATCATATGACACTGCGAAGATTTGATACCAGATGCTCAAAAACAAGGACTTTGACATTCAAAAAGCAGAGCACTCTGGCTGGCCTAGTGATGTTGAAGAGGCCTGTTTGCAAGAACTTGTAGAAGATCAGTATGTAAGCACTTGAAACCTTGCTAAGGAGTTAGACATTCATACCCTGTCCATTAGTCACACTATGCATCACATTAACTTACTACACTGAACGTACACGTGCAATCACTGGGTGCCACATGGCCTGACGCAAGCAGATAAGGACAGACATGCACTAATCTGCTCTATCAACGCAAAGACAAATTTTGAGCCAGATCGCCACTTGTGATGAAAACTTGATTTACATTAACAATACAGGCCTAAAATGGGGTTGGTCTGTGACCAGTGAGGCTGTCGGCAGCGCCACAAAGTGCAATTTAACTAACAAAAAGTTCATGCTTTGTATCTGGTGGGATTGCCATGGTCCACAAAGAGTATCTGGAAAAAGGTAAAACCCTCTACAGTAAGGTGTACAGTGAGATGCTAGTCTGTGTTGATGCTGCTATCTAGGAAAAATGCTGAACTGAGTTCCAGCGTAAAAAGGTAATGTTCATTAAGATAATGCATGACACGTGTCTGAATTCACTGGCTGGACTCTGTATGGGATCTTTTCTCACATCAACCATACAGCCCCAACATAATTCCTTTGGACTTCTAGCTTTTTTCACACCTGCAGCTACATCTTGCTGGTGTTATCTTCCATCCTGCACATGGCATTCTAATTGAGGTTGATCTGTTTTTGGACTTACGGCCACCAAGTTTCTGGGCTGAAGGTTTTGAAAAACTACCAAAACGTTGGCAGAAACACCTAGATTTGGGTTGTGATTGCTATATGCATTAAAGATACTGTTTTCACAATTTTTCCCCCAACTTTATTAAGAACTTTTTTTAGCGGAAAACTTTCATTATAACCATACATTAAATATACATAATTAAATCTGATTGATTTAAACAGAATAAGTTAACATAAAAGTTCAAATAATTTACATTGAATTAAATATCTAAATTTCACAAAATCATGTTTCATGAAAGAAAAATGCATCTGATGCTAATAATAATAAAATATTATATCAAACAATATGATACAAAATTTATTACATGTCACAAAAAAGCCATTCAGAACAAAATTAAAAGATGAGACAAACTTTAACTAGAACAGGTTCAACATTAACAGACATGAAAAAGTGAGTCAAAACAAGAACTTTTTTGCATAGTATTGCTTACACTTCTTGGCTCAGATATTCTGCTATTTTTACCCCATTACAACAAAAATTTTAAACAGCACTAAATCAATGCTTTGAACACACCAGATGAACAATGATGACCATGTATTTAAAAAAAAAAAAAAAAAAAAAAAAACAGAAATTCTGAAACATTAAATGAAAAACTATTATTTAACTTATTTTCTGATTAACACAGCTGAGAAGAAATACTTTCATGCCATGCATCTAGAGATATCCAATATGAAGTCATTCAAATCAAATTTTCTTCTTATGAATTATAATATATGAAATCTTTCAGTTTTTGAGGCAGGGGCAGATGGAAGACCTGTGAGCGTGACATCTGCTGACGAATTTTATCTCTGCACACAATTTGCAGAGAAGGAACTAAAAGCAAAAAAAGTCATAATAATAAATCTAAAAAAATCACCATCAGTCAAATTTGTTTAGCAAAAAGAAGCAGATGATAGATGCCCTGTGAGACATAAAGATTAAAGACATAAAATAATGATATTTTTGTGATTTATGTGATTTCCCCTTAATGAGTAAGGGGGAAAAAACTGGAGAATATAAAATACATGAATAATAAATTATCATTTAGAAAGAAATTGCTCCTTATGAAAAACACTTTCTGAAGAAATGAATATGAAGTTCTTCATTTTCATGGATGCATTTAAAATTACTAAGATGATTAAAAATAACTTAGAACTTCTGTAGATTAACTAAGAACTTCTGTACAGTAAAAGCACAGAGTAATAATTTGCTCACATCCAGATGAGGCAGAGAAAGTCTAACATGGTCTGAAACATTACAGCCTACTCTTACCTACATTGACGCTTTTCCTATTACAGTTTGCATATACAGTGATTAAAAAATTTCTAGCTAAAATGTACAAGCAGTTAAACAAACCCATACAAGCAGATTTCGTTACTGAACACAGGTGCAGAAATGGCACACTGAAGTGGTATAGGACACTGTTAAGCAGTAAGCATTTTGCTGGGGTAAATCATCATTTCCTGTGCAAATTTCAGTGATATGCATACTATACAAAGTATGGTAACATACATTTTATCTATAAGCTTTCAGACAGAAATATAGTAGCTACTCAAAGGAGGTACTTTGGAATTATTCTATGTATCCAAGTTGAGTAGCTGCTCTGTTTCAGCTGCAACCGCTTAGATAAAAATGTATCCCCAAGCACCACATTCATGTAGTAGTGCATACTTGCTGAAATTCACACAGGAATTGATAATTATGCATTCAGAATGCTTTTATGTACGACTTAACAGCAGCCTAAATCATATTAATGCAACATTTTGCACACTTGTGTTCACCCTGCAATGCGCCCCATGAAAATATTAATTACAGTATCTTTGCACATTTTATGCATAAATGTATGAAGGTTTTCATATTTAGTACAGCATAATGAAAAATTTCATCAACTGGACTTCAGCCTTATAGACCATGGAGAAAGTTTTTATTGATACCTACCTTATTTCACAGTACTAAAACTGTTGCTATAAAATTCCCTACCTTATTTGACACCAGACATGTAATTACTATTTCAAAGCCTGGTGTTTTATGTCTGGTGTTTTTATGCAAGGTGCTTTTATTAAACACCTTGCATAAAAACCATATTCTATTAGTGAAATATCAAGATGCTAAGTTTTTATATATTTGGCAATCTTTCAGTCATTTTAACATAAATTTTTCTCATTCAATCGATGTTATAAATTGCTGACCTTTTATATAAAATTTATCTTCCTACCACTTGATTCTACTTTAAAAAGCTATTATTAAATTTCTCAGGTAATCTTTACCAAACACAGGAAACTGTTATATCTCTGAAAAATCTAAACCATATGAAATAAATACTTCCCATCAGTCTTCTGACTATTAAAATTTGAGAGATGCTGGGGGGGAGGAGAGATAAGATTACTATACCTCTGGGATTAAAAAATGTTCAGAACACCAACTAAATTGCATTTCCCCTTCAGAAAATACATGTAAAAAATTCTAAGCTTCTTATAAAATTTTAAAAGTATAAACAATGAAAATTAAGAACTGTTTATCAATATACATACAGTGGTAAAAAAAAAATAAGTACAAAGTACTTGCCAGTATGCTTCTAATTGACAAGTGGCTGAACAATGTAACTGAATTCCTTTAGTAAGCTCTTTGAAAGAACACTTGTTTTAGGGAAGTGTTAAAAACAATTACAAGTCATAACTTTGACAAAGTATTGTTTCTTATGACTTTACTTGGAAATCAATCCATTTAGATCAGGCCACTTACCAAAAACAAAACATTAAATTAAAAATTCATAATGAAAATATTAAAAACACTCGAAAATTACAGCACTAAAATTCGAGTCTTTACAATACCCCCAAAAATTAAGGCATAAAAATTTCACAATTAAAATCTTAAAATAACCTTAGCTATTACAGATGAAATACCCATGTGCCCAGGACATAAGACCCCTGCCCATCCAATACAGCAGGAGAATACCTCTGCTATGCTATAACTTATGACCAAGGTCTGGACAGACAAGCAATACAAATAGGGCACTGGCCATCAGTCAATATGCTTACTCTGTTGAGATGTTCGGCTAAGCAATCGTGCCCTGTACCCAGTCTGAAATTAGCAACAGCCTCTCTATGTGGCCTGCGACTGAACTCATTCGAATCATTCCTGATACTCTTTGGAGAGCTATTGTCCCTACGGCCAACTTAGAATCAACAAGAATGACTCCCTTTATAGTTAGTGCAGTTCTCTGATTTCCTTTGGAGGGTATGGAGTTAGATCAAATTGAATAATTCCTTACTTTTACAATTATAAATTTACATATTTTGCTCTGAATTAAGACATATTTCTACATAATTAAATGTTCTTTTAATTAATATAGTAAAAAATAACGTTATTAGCTCTTGAAATATATACATGTTTAGTTTGTTTAAAAGATATCAAATGAAAACGAATTACATTTTTGATTTCTGCATAATTCATTTTGAAATAGAACTCATTTGACTTGCTGCCAGATGTTTTAATTTGTTTAAAATTGCATATTGCTCTGTGATTTAATTTTTGATTATAAATAAAATAGAAACCCCCAAAAATGAAACAACATTTGGATCATGTGTATAGTGTACACGATTTATCTCCTTATTTTAAAGTGATAGAATAGGAAATAGTCTTTTGCATTTGTCGAGAATCCATAAAAGATGACTTTTGTGAAGGTTGATAATTGGTAACATTTACATCAGAAAATTTTGGGCGCATTTAGATTGAAACATTAGTAATAGGAGATTAAAAGCCAATGAGGCAGCAGCAACACTAAATCTGTCTAAAACTATTTTGTGAATTCCACATGAGCAAAGTTTCTGCAAGATGGGAACCCTGACTTCTTTGAGACATTTGAATTGAGCAATACGTCAATGCTATTCAGAAGCAGTGTGGGCTCAAGGAGCTTGATTTTGCCTTATAGTATGGATTTAGCTTCAAGTGATTATTAGCTATTCTCTAAACTATGAAAAGAGATTTGATGATGGCATGAAAAGAACAGATATGGAATGTTTTGAAGACAAACCTTCAGATTAGTTTCACAGGGTCAAAAAGCTGCTAATTAAACGACTTGAAAACTGTCTCGAAGTACAGGGAGATCAAACTGAAAAACAAACTGCAAAAAAATTTATATTTCATTTGACTGGATACTAGGCCAAAAACCACTAGATCCACTTGCATACATTTACTGAAGAAGTGCTTCCAAAACATGGGTAAGAATGGAATATCAGTGTGGCTTGCAGAAAATTCTGTTGTCAGATACGCAACGACCAATCTAATGGTTTGCATATTTTCCTTTTAAAAAAAATTACAAATATTTAGATTCCAATACAGTGATCAGTCACATTTTAAGGTGTAATTAGAGTCATCCAGTTTTGGAGCTGCTCGTGGTTTATATTCTCTACGAAAGCATCCCACCTAAAGAAAACAGCCTCACGTGTTTTATTGTAATCGATTGATTAAAAAAGCAGACTTAAAAATAAGCAAATCTTTTATCAGTTAAATTAATTTTCATTGTAAGAAAGACTTATTTGAACTTGAGCAGAATATCACACAACAGCTAATTCTGTTTTAAATATGATCAATATAACGGCTGTCAGATACAATTTTACTTATTGTTCTCATCCTATCCCTAAAATACTGGATTATTCATAACGTTGTAGTAAAAAAAGTAAGACAAATACAGTAAAATTGAACCTTGAACTAAGCACAGAAAAAATTCAAGTTTTTATATAATAGTGGTTCGCAGTAGATGGCAGCACGCATCTGACTGAAAGCAGTAAGTGAATCAAAACAGCGTTCATGAGTGAGCAAACAGCTTTTAGTGCATTAGAATTCACTAAATCGGAATCAGAGGTGTTGATGCAGCAGGCATTTTGTATGATATATTGAACACAGGGACTCACTCACAAGATAATTCATATGTGGTAGAGTAAGTTCAAAGAAACTAGATGCTTGTGTGATAAGCAATGATCTGGTCATCTGGGTCCATCTGCAGAAATCGTAAGTGATGTACAGGAAATATTTCGGAGGAGCCCGACAAAATCAACTGTTCATGCAAACCACAAATTGGGGATTTTGTAACCAACAGTGTGGCAAGTAGTTCTCCATATGAAGACATACCAATTGCAAATGAAGCAAGCACTGACTTTAGAGGATTGTATTTCTCATATGAACTTTTGCATGGATTCCAGAATTCACTGCTGCAGAAAATGACTTCTAGAGATGAATCCACATTTTTTGTCCGGCAAGGTAAACTGCCACAACTTACACATTTTGGGCAGTGAAAATCCTCATACAATAGTAGAACACTATCATGATTCCCGAAAGTTAATGTGTTTTGTGCTATCTCCTCCTCAAGTGTGTACAGGCCAGTTTTTTAGGCATGGACTGTTACCGGTGTACAAAAATTTGAAAAAATTGTTATTAATGCCCCAATTATATGAACATGAGGATGATGACTTCATTTTTCAACAAAATAGAGCTCCGCCCCATTTTCTGCAGGATGTGTGAAAGACCTTAACACAGAATTATATCATCATTAGATTGGGGGAGGTCATGATGATGACGTATCTCTTTTGCTTTAGCCCCCAAGCTCACCGGATTTAACACCATGTGACTTTTTCTTGTGGAGATATGTAAAAGATCTTTTTTTTGTACCCCTCCTTAATACATGATTTAGCACAATGGATTACATGCACTGTCAATACTGTTGATAGTACCATGCTGAATAGAGTTTGGCAGGAACTGGACTGTGAGAGCTGTAAATAAAACTTGAACTGTTTCTGTATTTAGTGCTATGTTCTTTTTCGTTGTACTCATCTTAGTTTTTTTTTTTTTTCTACAGCCTTCAGAAACCCTGAAAGGAATATGAATAACTCGGTATATAAGCACTATTTTAAAACTATTAAATTTTAATGTTGCTTCATGCTTTCTCTTTACAACGCTTCACCAGTTAATTCTGCGGATTTCAGCATGTTAAATTTTGTGAATATTATAGGTGTTTCTATACATTTCTATTTGTATCAATAAACATATTTTCTACCTGATTTAAGGTCCAATTTATTCTTACGTTTTCATTTCGGTTTTTTCTAATCTTTAAATCAACCGCTTTATAGTGTTCTTCAATTTTTTCAGAAACTATGTTTTTTAAAAATTTCTTTAGCAAGAAATGTATTTTTTAAAACTTATTCTTTCTATCAAAATCTAAAGAATGAAAGTAAGCTTTTTAAATCCTGCTCTTTCATATCTATAATATATCTTAGGAGTAGCCAAAATGTTTTTTCTTATATCTTTCATAAAAAATTCAATATTAAAATCTTTTTTCTTCTAGTACTTGTACTAAATTCATTTTATGGTTCCATTATAAACAATGACTTAAGAGAGAAAAATTGTATTTCTTTATATGTTTACATTCCAGTCTTTTCAGAGAGTGGAACTGACTAATGTGTCTATTCAGTTAATCTGTTAAACAATATATGTAACTGCTCCAGAAATAATTGCAAACAAAACCAATTGTACATTTCCATACAAATTTAATATGAATACCAGATGATAAAACCTTGAACTATGCATCTTATTCAATAAACATTTTACACAAGAAGTGAAGCAAAATATTGAAAAAAGGATATATATTTTATTTTTAAATATCCTTGTTTTGCTTCCTGTTTTGCTATTCCAATAAGATTTTAGGTGATTAGTCTATTGCAAAAACTGTAAGCAGTTGCATCGGCATCTCAGCAGACTTTAGAAATACTCTTACAGCAAAGTAAGAGCAATAAAGACCTATAGTTCAAATTAAGAGGGAGATATTACAGAATTAGTGATGTCATCAGTACGACGTTTTCTAGGTAGATTTTTAATATGCAGCCACTAGTATGCAACATTAATATAAAAAAGCAAATTAGCTTCAATACATGAGTTCCAAAAATAAAATTTATAATAATTATTAAATAAAAGCTAAAAAATAATAGCATATTGGTGTGTGCATACAAGTTTATAATGGATTGAATGCACACAGAAACGATGAAGCATGATAAAATATATTTTAACCAAAGAAACACTTTACAGTTCTGAAACCTCATATAAAAGTATTTGTATAGCTCTTTTCGGTATGACAGAGTACAATCAGTAGTTACCACTTCAAACTACTAAGAATGTTAAACAAGATGCAATGAAGAGAACATATAAAGAGCAAAGCTTGCAAGATGTCTCAATACATCAAACTAAAAAACTAAACTGCTGTTAAACATCAACAGTTTTAAGAAAAAAATTGACTGTATTAATTCCTCTCTTGATTCAGCTAGATTATTTTATAACATGAAACTCTTTTGACACTGCTTAATATGTTCCAAAATTCACTGTAACATACAGATTACAGGATATCTAGTTTATAGCACTCTCATCAATCTCTCAACTCTCTTCGGTGAAAACTTTCAATTAGCTAAACATATGGGTGGCACAGCACCCTCTATCTCTTTTTTCTACATCCTGTTTGCAAAACAGAATGCTGATTTAAGATGGGTGAGTTTTTGTTGGTGATTTGTCACATCTAACTCAGAAAATAAAAAAACATGAATACTCACAATCATACTTAAATTTCCTTTTAGAATTTAATTTGTTAGGAAAGGTTGGATATTTGCCAACAATTAAACAATATACTTTGTTCAAATGTGAAAAGACACAATGAGAAAGCTGCCAAAGACTGCTGTGTTCTAAAAAAAACTACTGATTGCATTGTGTTTAGCAGTGCATTTCAGCTTGCAGTTTCAGGATATCATGAATGCGAAGATTTGGAGTTTTTGGAGGTCTTATAAACTTTTCAGCATAACCTGGTTCATCTCAAACTTGATTCATCTCACTAGTGCTGATGTTTTTAAAGGAATGTCGAAAAAATTAAAAAATGATTTATTAGACTGTATGCTGTTTGTCAGAACAACATAAAAAATGAGATCTGAAAAGCAAGGTTTGTTTCTCCAATACCAGATGAAATTACTGGTGTGCGATCTGCTTCCCAAATGGTAGTAATTTTTTTGCTATGTTTTAAGTAATAGGCAAAAATAGGCATTCTGGGAATTCACAAATCAACCAGGGCATGATACAGAAATCTACAGCTGAATGTACTAAAGCAAATTTGGAAAAAGTAGTAGAAAAACCTGAGAAATTAATATTGCAGACCTATGACAGTACAAACATAAGTGGTTATCATGCTGGTGTTAGAGCTTTTATTCAATGCAATTATGCATTCTTGTAAGAATGCACAATTTGTGCATTGCTAGGCACATCACCTCAATTTGATTATAGGGCTAGCAACTAATCAAATTCAACAAGTTCAAGTACATTTTTCCAACTTGAGTGATATCACTAACATTTTCAATAACTCTCCACAGAGAATTGCTATTCTAGATGAAATTGTTAAAAAAAAGGATACATCATGAATCAGCTACTAGATGGAATTTTGAGTCGAACCATCAATACAGCGTATGAATATAGGGAATAGGTGATTGAATACATAGAAAAAATAGCGTCATCATCAAAACATGCTACAGCAAAATATCAAGCAGGGGCTATTTGTCATATGTTAGAAAACTCAGAATTTATGTTTTGGCTGAGTGTTTCACAGTATTATGCCACATGTCGATGTGCTATACAACCAGCTTTAGAAAACTCTTAGCACTCATTAGAAAGTATGTAAGCGCTTTCTAGCAGTCATTCCAGAAAAATGGAAGTAAATGGACACAGTGATAGAGGAGATATTGCACTAATATAAAAACTTCAAGAAAAAGGAAGGAAAAAAAAAATCACATAGACAAGAGTGTAGCAGCTAAAGGCACATGTGATTTTTATTATGAACACATAAAAGACAGATTGTGTTTCATTTCTAACTACTCTGCATTTTCTCTTTTCAAAACTCTAAAATTCCAGGAGTATGAGAAAAAGTTTCTAACTCAGATTCTTGACAAAACAACTGATGTTTCTTCCATGTTACATAAGGATAGTCTGAAAACTGAACTAGGAGTAATTCACAGAAGATCAGATTTCAGAAAAATGACAAATATGATTAGTCTTCTATTTCAAGTTATTATAGAAAACAACTTACAGACTACGTTTTTGCAAACCTACAAACTGTTGCTAATTATTGCTCCTATTCCAATGACCACTGCTGAAGCTGAGTTGTGCTTTTCAATGAGTTAAGGCATTTTTAAGAAGCACTATGAAAGAGGTTAGACTAAGTGTTCTAGTCATGCTCTAAACTGAAGAGCATAATGACATACTTAAATTCAATGAAAATGTTATTGATTTGGTTTCCTTTAAAAAAATTACGAGTGGATTTAGTTTACAAAAACTGTACTTGACTATTTTGTAATCAAAATTCAAAAATATATTGTAAGAAATATTATAATTTTATTACACTCCATTGTAAGAAATAAAATGTTACAATTTCTTTTTTTTTTTTTTTTTTTTTTTTTAACCTACAAGAACTTCTTTCCTTTTCATTGCATTGTTTCTTTCAACTTGTGAAAATGCAAATATATTTTAATTTGTAAGTTACATCATATCTGCAAATTCAATTTTAGAAATTTGCTTTGTGAACCGCCATTTAAATAACCCATGAGCCACCACTGTATGAACTGGTGATCTTTTTGTTACATTATGAATAATAAGATATATTATAATCTCACAAAAAGTTTACGACGAAAGAAGAGAATTCAATTTTTCTACACTAAAATTAACCAACTGGAATTCAAATATTTCCAAAAGAGTCATCCTAAACACAATTTATTCACAGCTACTTAGAATAAAAAGAATCTGCAATACAACAAAACACCTTCAAGAAGAAATACTATACTTCGTGACAATTTTGAAAAATAACCTAATTCCTCAAAAAATAATTAAAAATACCTTAAAAAAAGCTGGCATTAGCCTTACCAATTTTTAGATTTTTTGAGTTAGATAGTGATATTTTATACTTAAAGCCCAATGGGACGGTATAAAGTGGATGGCTGATTCTGAGAATTTAATGTAAAAATGTACATATAATTCTTGTCACTATGTTTTCTTTCCTCCAAAAAATTTTGTCACAATACTTTTAATATTATTGTTTAAATAGTTTTAAATTACTTTGATGACCAATTCTACTACTTTTATTAACAAACTGGGCCTTTTCGTTTTTCATTGTAGCTTGATCGCCCTCTAGCTTGAAGAATTACAACTTTTATTAACAAATGACTGTTTTTTCCATTTTACTCTTACTTTTGTAGCAATGTTAAGTAATTTTAGCTGAATTAGCCATTTTCACATTTAGAAACAGTTTTATTCTTCAAACAACTTGACTGATGCCATTTTGAAATCTTTCCATGTCTTTTTGAGTCTTTCAACCCATTTTAGCTCTAGGGGACGAGTTCCCGCCAACGGACAGTCTAATCACATTGGCTGTTGCCCAGTGACATTGTTTCCCCCGCCTTACGTCACACAACGAGTGGGATAACGTTGAAGGACACAGAGGGGAATTACAACCCCTTTTCAGCTTTGCTTCACGATCAAGAGGACTGCATAGCCACAGGTCTGTTTTTTATGTTTCTTTTACAAAAAATTTTTCCTGGTCTTAGCAAGACCCACTGTGTTTGTTTTCATTTAAATTTAATTTCAGATTTCTAAAATTTATAAAGGTTTAATTCTTTAAGTTTGCAGGTCCAGCCCGTACGTTATTGTATAGTTTGACTAACTGCAGACCGCTATTTATTTTTATTCTATTTTAATTATTGCTGTACATCGGAGTTGCATTTACATTTTTTACACCTTAATGTGTCATTTTGTGCGGATGCGTCGGGAAATTGAAACAGAGAATTGAGACTAAAAAAAATGTTTAGGACAATTCATCTAATTATAAAAAATTTTCATAACACAAAAGTTTCAATTGTCTGGTTCGGCGAAATGCGTAATGGAGTTAGCTTGGTTCGACGTTTAACTAGAAATTTCCCTTGAAAAGCCAGGTTGGACGTCGAATTGAGCTAATTTACCATTTTCCGCTTTATAATTTTATGTTTTTCATATGTTTTTATTTGTTTTAACTTGTTTCATCGATCGGTTTTTTTTTATATGTTTTAACTTTTCACTTATCACATCGATAGGTATTTTACTGTATTTTTTGCCATTTACCTGTTTCCAACGATTAGTATTTTACTGTGTTTTATATTCTACATTTTATTTCACGTGTAGCCTAATTTTTCACCCTTCAATGTCATTGTTTTTTTAAAAAATACTGTGTTGAACTTTTTCTTGGAGCCATAGCTCCTGGTAACTTTTTGGCGAGCTAACTACAATTTATCTTCTTCTCATTTCCTTAATTTTGCAGCATATTGCGCAAAAAATTTTTTAGACCAAATAGGCCTTTTTACATAGCTTTATAATCTCACAAATGATATCCTGCCAGAACACCAGGTATATTCATAAACAAGATATACCAAATCCCACACTATAAACTGGCATGTGCTTGAACAGAGGGATGAGTTTGTACTTCTTTCAATTATCTGTATTTATCTCAACACTCTAGCAATACGCTATTTTTGTATTATGTTTCCCGTATAACTCCTGTTTTCTATAACCTATCTGCATACTTCAACAAGAATCTTTTCTCCAAAATCTAAAATAAAGCTTATGGCAGAGTGGCTACAGAAAACTAGTAATTCAACGTAGTTTGAGTTCAATCCCAGACAAATGGGCTGAGTGCATTGTTGGTTTTCCCAATCATAATATTAATATGAGACAATTTCCCTCAATAACATCTCCAGAATGGCATCCTTCGTGGTTTTTCAAAATTCAAATAATAAAAACTAGAATAAGCCTAGTAACTATTAAGCTAATTTAGGTGACTGCCTTGAGGCTCCTATTTAATTCGTGAACAAAGGAAAAGTAAGCTGATTTTTAGCTATGGCAAAACATTCTTATTTTTAAACTTACAATGACTATCACCCACAGCCAGCAACTCCTTACAGCAAAAGTATTTCTGAGAACACCAATACCACTACTGAAAATCACCAATAGTGATGAGCTCATGGTGGCCATCACAGGAAATCAAACTTGTCTGGAATGGTTACCTCAGAATGCATAAATAAATAAAATACTGATGTACCTGATTTCCCCCCTTCCTCCTATGGATGTCAAGCAGATTCTTCAGCTGGGCCTGATACAGAAAACATGTTTTTGGTATCTTAAATCTTCTAATACGCTATTTGTTTAACTGGTAGTTACACTTGAATAACATGCTGAAATCGCACATGAATGATACAATCTGAAGCTCTCGTTTAATCTACCAAGTTAACTATATGGGAATTTAAATATGATACTAATGAGTTTGGCTTTTAGCAACAATATTCCTTTCCTTTTATTTTCCATGCTGGCTAGCATGGGAAAGGAAAAAATGAAAATTAAAATTATACAAATTTTCTCAACATAAATGAAAGAGAAAACTATCTTGTGATCCACATTAAACCACTCAACCTGTACTCTACTAATTCTTAGTGCAGCACTTTGTGATCTCTTCTCTTAACCCTCTGAGCATTATCACCGGCTTTATCTGGTCATCCGAAGTTTTGCTACTCAACATATAAAAGCTTATAATTTAAGATATTTTGCTTTGTCACTTTCTTTAATAATGCAAATATCATTTTAATGAATGTAAGTTTATAAAAATACAGACTAAAATAAATAATTATACAAACTCAATTAATAGATGCTGTTTAAACACTGGTCTTCATGATGGATCTAAAATCCTGCGTCGCTCAGAGGGTTAAGGAAAAGGATTTAAGAAACCTTTTTCTGGCAAACACGTTGTCAACGCACATGACAAAAAAATATTGGTATGATATTGCAAGCAATATTTTTTTATGTGTTTGAAGTACAGAATCTTTTACAGTAAAAGTTTTTAGGTAAGATTTAAAAAAGTTCATAGAAATAATTTATCAGATATCACCTTACAGCATTGATTTATACCATGAAGTATGTCTTCCTGTTAAAACAATTATCTTATGAAGCTTACAATAAACTTTGTTTCTAACTGATAGAATTTAATTGATAGTACACCAGACACTAGCTCTTCTTTAGTATTTTAGATACAAAGATCAAGAGTATTTAGATACAAAGTTTTAAACAGGACAGTGATCTGTCATTAAGGATCTGTTATTTTGGTTATTAAGGTAATCATAACACTTAGACGTCTGGAAAATGAAATATATCAGCTAAAATTCAAATTTTCTATTATTATAAAAATTAATTTTTTTTTGTAAATATAAAGTCAAATTACTTACCAGTATAGATCTGTACAATGCGAACTTTCTTTGTGGTACCATACAAATCTACAACAGCATATATTGGATCTCCATTAAGCGGAATTTCTGTTGCACATGGTCCATAAACACTGCCATTAAAAAATATATACATTTCGGCCAAACCATCACGAATTATATATGTTACACCAATTCGATTTCCTATCCCACCAGGAATCATATGTTGTCTTTAAAAGAAAAAGGGGGGAAATTGCAGTTAAACAACTTTATCAAATAAATTTCCGAAGTCTCAAAAATAAATATTTTTTAGTTACAAGGTAAACAAAAGTTATAATTTACTCAGAAAATAAGGAACAATTACTTGTAAAACTATAAAAGCATTTAAAAAATTAAAATTCCTATGTTAAAAAAAATTTCTAAAACACATCATTTATTGCAGTTTTCTAAGTGTGTTTAAGTGTTAAAAATAATTTTTCAAATTCTGTTACTACAGTCCACAAATACTAGTTTCACATTTTTAAGAATGAAATATACCGTTCAATTAACATGTATTTCTACTTATCATGCCTACAGGATTATTCCAGAAATTTAATGATATTCATTAAATATAAATAAATAAATTATTAAAATGTATTTTTACTTTTGTAGAATGGAATTCAAAAACTGTATATGTAACACACAACAGAACAGAATAATAGAAAACTAATAATTATATTTTTTAGATATTTTAGAATGGCAGTAAATTTTGTTCTGCTGCAGGAAAATTAGTAATATTCTAAATTAATAATAAATAATATTAGTAATATTAAAAATAATTAATAAATTTAAAATTAAATTAAATTTATTAATTAAAAAATTAATAATATTAGTAAGTTCTTAATGGTTTGAAAAGACTGAAGGTATTTTACATGATTGTCCAAACATCAGACTAGGTAAGTATGAATTAAATAAGAAAGGGGAAAAGTTAATTCAGAACATCTGTAGTTTTAGAAAATGATGTAAAAAGATTTACACTGGACTTGTTCAGATCTAGTCTCTTAAAAGACAAATAAAAGCCTTAAGATAAATCTGAAAAGGTGATTAACATCTAAGCACTTACCAATTCTGAACAGTGCTAAGAAAAGTGTAACTATTATATTTATACAAAGTAAAAACACTGAATAAATTAGATAAAACACAGAACCAGTTTTTCATTTGAGAATAATTTCTTGATAAATTTGACCACATTCTCTACAAGCCATTCAATAAAAAATAATTCCTTTTTATTTATTTTGGGCAAAAAAACAGTGGAACAGTTACATAAATTAGAATATTTTTGAATAGGTGTATGTTTACAATAACAGCCTGCTAGATGGTAACATGACACCAGCCTGCTTACAGCCTTATACAATTATTACATAAGGTGTCATGTAGAATATATGTTTATACTAATATTTCAAATTATAATAGACTTTCACCCAGTTAATGAAAAATATAAAATTTGCAATCTATTATACAATGGCTGAAAATTAATTCTGGACATCTGTGCTCTTGAAATTTATTTACAGAAAACATTTGCCAAACATTAAAGAAATGACTTAAGATACTTTTTACACAAAATGCTGTCTCCTTATTTCAATACCTTCTTGTTGTTTAAAATAACAGAGTTTGAAATATTCTAAAAATAAAATAATTTATACAAGACATGCTAAAAACAAATTTGCATTTATTTGGATAATCAAAAGTTTTGAACAGATTTCTTTTCATTTGGAGGCTTTTATTAACATTTTCTCAATTTTAAATAGAACTACATTGCAAGACTTACTGTTTACATTCAGAAACTATTAACTCTTCAGCGAAATGTTTTAGTAATTTCTAACTTAAAATGAACATGATAAGATGTTAGATGGTAACTACAAGTTTTATTACAAATTTAATCACATATTGTAAATGTCATGAAAGTATTTCAAAAATTATTAATGTAAAAAATTTAGCAGCCTTTGAAATTATGAAACAATGGGTACTGGATGGAAAAGGTAAGACAGCCTAAAAATTGAGATGGCATTCCAAGCTATATCAAGGAATCACAGGTTTATCTAGAGGAAAATTAATTAAAACTCAATGCGCAGTGTTTTAAAAGTTGTACTTGAATTACAATGGTTTACAATGAGAATTAGTTCTGAAATTGTTAGATGAGCAGTCAGAGTATATAGATACAATAGTTAAGTAGTAAGTAGAAAATTCTTCATGAACATGTGAAAGAGAAAAAAGTTTTCTTACACAGTTGCAAAATCCACAATAAACAAGATTTATACTTGTATAACATAACAAATGCTGATGAATAAAAATTTAATGTATTTGCCTCACTGAATGAACAAATCACTGTGTGGCGAAAACATTAAAAAAAAAAAAAGTTTGAGATGATACCTCTTGTCACTGCAATGACATTTTCACTGAAACTGGAGTTAAGCTGTTTTACAAGATAAAGCAGCAAACAAAAAAATTTAAAGGCTAGAAATGCACTGGCAAAGAACTGAAATAGCAAATCACAATTCTTACAAGTGCCAACATGAAATGGAACTGAACATATTCTAATTACTGGAAACTATAAAAAGACAAGATATTTGAAAAATATGAAAAGTTTTTCCATATCTTATAAAGATAACTGTAAGGCAAGGCTTACATAAAATTTTATGGAAGGACAGGTGTGGGATAAATTTTTGTCCCAAAATAGAGGATTCTACATATGAATAACAATTGTATTGCACATAAAATTATCAAAAACTTCAAAACTTATTATGGTTATTTTCCTACTACTGAACACAATTTCTATACTGCAGCTTATAAACCAAGGGGTCATCAGAAGCTCAAAAGATTATTGAAGAAAACTTTATTTTACATGTTTGAAAATCCATGAAACATAACAGATTGTAATCCTTTTCTTTTCAGTACAATGCTAATGCTAAAAAATTCATAAGATTTGTAACATGTTTCATGATGTGGAACTGTTTTGACATGCTGATTTAGCAAAGTGTACAGAAGATGAAGAAAGCTGGGATTTATTTAGCATGGTGGGGCAAAAACAAAGTAAAATACCTTAACAGTTTCAAAATGTAAACAAGGAACTTTCCCAAACATCTATTTATCATGAAAGTTGAAATATGACATATGGAAGATAAATACTCCACCACTATGGATGCCAAAGCAGTGAAGAATGCCATTGGTAAGTTTTTGCCCAAGTAAACTGTAGAACCAAGACTAATGGAATTGTTTGAAATTTTTAATATAAATATGGATTACTTTCAGCAAATCTAGAGTTTCAAACAACCTTATATATAAAACGGTATGAATACAAATCAGGAAAATAAGGTAACAAAGAAATAAGAAATTTCAAGAAATCATTCTGGTACCACATGTCTAATTTCACTTCCTGAAGTATTAGAAATTTCATTTTGGAAAAACAAGGTTAATATTTAAATAGGAAAACTTATGCAATGAGGTTCATTAACAAGCAACAAACAGTGCTTATGCATGCATCTCCCCCATTAACTGGCACACATCTGCAGATTAAGGAAGGCATAAAAAAAATCCATGTGATCTGTAACAGATTTCATAATTTGGTACTGTTTTGACATGCTGATTTAGCAAAGAGTACAGAAGATGAACTCACACATATTAGGAATCCATTTTTAAGAGTAGCTTGTTCTAATCTTCATGGGTAAATAATGACCATGTAATTATTATGTAAATCATTCACCATACAATGCATATTCTGAAGCATGAATTCTTTAAAAAATATGATCTATCAATAAAATGTTAAGTAAAATCACGCAACATAAACAAGGAGATATGCAGGCCCATATATTAGAAATTATTGAGTATTCATTACTCCATGTAATAAATAAGTTTTGGCACAGTTAACCTGCCTGGGAGACTTCAATGTACATCAAACTGTTGTTCCAAGAAAAACTGCAAAGTCCGAATACTGACTACAGTGGTTGCAAACCCTAAAATGTTACTAGAATTACAATTTCAAACTAGTGAAAGTTAGTGCAAATGAAACATTAGCTGCAGTTGGAAGACATTAATTAAAAACATAACTTTCTACAACAAAACAAAAAATCAATTAATACTACTGTTTGCTTTTCTGAGTTTTCATAGCTTCAATAACTAGCTTTTTTTTTTTTTTTTTTTTTTTTTGTTTGTTGCATTTTGAATTTAATCCTTTAAGATAAGGATATTTTTCAGTACAACAACAGTACTACTGACACATTTATAAACTATATTTAACATTGAATTTTTTTAAAAGGCCGATTTTCCCTTTCTGACATTACAGAATAAATTATATTTTATAATGAATGTGATTTAAGTATAATGCATGATAAGCTGCATTTTCAGTAAAAAATATCAAAACACCTCTTCATGCTTGCAGTACAAAAGGAAAACTGCATTAAGTAACACTATAAGAAGACACACTGTTCCATAAGTAACATTATAAATAGAAGGCAAATTAGATATCTTTGTGCATATATATATGTTTAGCAATTCTGCATGGAGATTTAACTATAAAAACTAAGTCAAATGCTCCAAAAATTATGTAAAAACACTTATAATTTTAGAATAAAAATGAATGCAATTCTTATAAAAATAATGAATTGGTCCAGCAAATTTTATATTATTCCATCAACAAATAGAATATGAAACAAAGCACAAGCCACCTTACATGATATGGCAAAAATAAAATAAGTGAGGATATTATGACACACTTTAACATTTTGCAATCAAACTTCTAAGCTAAAACACTTGTTTCTTCCCTTGCAGTTTCTTTCCTTGCATTAGTGAACAAATTAAACATGAAATATGAGCAGTATACTGATAGTTTCTGGCAAATACAGTCAATTTAATCATTGTAGATTAGGTGTAATAAAAACATACGGATTAAGTTTAAAGCAAAACATTAACTAAGAGATTACACTCCTTGCAAAAGTACTGTCATGAGTGGCAAAAGGAACAGAAATTAAAACTTGCTATTTTTTGGTATAAGTTTTCTTTTTTTAATTCTGGAAACACTTTTTCAAGTTATGGGTAGAGCAGGCTCAAATACTGTGTCAAGTGTTTTGAATTGATAAGAATAAAACAAAATTTATTAAGCCTAATCTAGTAAGTGTTTCATATTTGTCTTAGCGATCGAAAGTGGTTTAAAAATCAAAAGATAGAATTCTCTAAGATCCAAGTAAAGGCTTTAGTG